CGCATGATCTTCACTTGGTCGGTCAGCTGGTCTTCGACCTTGACTTGAGCACGCTGGTTCCAGTATAAATTCATGATGATCCGAATGTCCTTATCATCCAATCCTACTCTTTGTAGGACGGTGACCATCTTCTGGTGCTGACAACGGTCAAATGCCTTGGCGTAGTCAATAAAACAAATATAGACATCACAACTGACATCGCGGCATTTCTGAAGTAGGACTTGTAAGGTGAAAAGTGTTTCACGTGTACCCATGGAATTGCGGAATCCGAATTGCATTTAGCTGATTAGTTAAAGAATTCTAAATATAAACTTTTTTAATGGCATAACTTTCATCATGGGGGTTACAAGTCAGCATGAAGTAAAAAGAATATTTAGTTACCAATTCAAATGCAAGGTTTGAAGTGTTGATATACGGGGACGTGGAAATCAAAAAAGTGGAAAAACTTAAATATTAGGTGCACTCACTGATAAGAACGGCTTGGGAGAAACCGAAATTAAACACCAAATTAATCAGGGACGTAAAATTGTAGGATGTCTAAACTTATTATGGTGGGATCGCAACATTTCCAGAAGATACAAAAAAAGAGTAGGGCAAACCATGGTTGAATCAGTTCTTTGTATGGCTCTGAAGGATGGACAATTAATGCAGACCTGAAGGAAAGATTGTTGACAGTTAAAATAGATTATTTGAGAAGAATGCTAGAACATCAAGGCAGGAAAGGAAGAGTAACGAATCTATAAGAAACAACATGAATCCTACAGAAACCGTCATTGACAGAATAGAAAGAAGAGGTTTAAAGTTGTTTAGATACCTATTGAGAATGCCTGACGAACGTTGGCCCCACAAACTTCATAGATGGAAGCCCCCTGCAAGAAGAAAAAGAGGTAGACCTCGACGCTTATAGAATGAAGAAATTAGAAGAGCGATGGAGTCATAGGAGGAGCATGCCTTCTTAGCCAAAGAGAAAAATAAAAATAAATAAATAGACTATTTAAATAAATTTTCAAGACATCCTGGTAAACAAAATTAATGTATTAGATTAAGATAAGAAATATTTTACCTGCCAACAACTGATTTTTAAACACTCGCAGGTAAAATCTTTATATATAGAATTAGAAAGCCCATACTCATTATAATCTTTTCGTTGTTTATATATGACCTAGCATTACGATATTGTAATTAAACTTTTGTTATAGGAATTAATTATGTATTTGCAACCAAAGGGAAAACCAGTTTTAAAGCAAAAATTTTAGTTTCTCTGGAATCAGTAATGGGTTTTTTTCTTAAAGAGTGTAAACAAAATAAAGCTTTTTGATTGGACAGTTTTTTTTTAATGGGAGAATTGATAGTCGATGTATGAGAGAGAGTGAACAGTTGTCATTTGATCATCGACAGGAAAGATCGCTTATTCCATCATCAGTGTCTAGGTGTACTTGATCCACTAAATATCTGGATATAAACTCGTTAAAAGTTATGTGTTAAATTTTAATTTACATTATTCGATCTATATTAGGATGTTAAAGTTGCCAGTGGATTTGATAACATGCCATGTTATCAAATGGTGTTGAATTTACAAAGACACTCAACTGGAACACTGATCTCAGACATACCCTCGACAGGATAAGAAGCAAGACACCTAAAAGCACTGGGTGGCAAATTTGGGGATACTAGCCAAGTTACTCTCCTATATACCTATAAAACCTTTCTGAGATCAATTATTGAATACACAACGAAACTCTACAACAAGACAACACCACCAAGTCATTGCCACTGAGGGAAGATTCTTGAGGAGAGTCATGGGTAAAATATTGAGGAAATTGAGGTAAAAAATTAAGGAATACTCAATCTTAGTAAGAGATACATTTCTTCCACCATAAATAGTTCGAACAACAAAGCAAAGGAGGTTCTCAAAAAACTTGCCACCGACGACGACACGTACTCACCAGAAATCCAAAAACCAAAGTTCCAGTAGTGGTCGGGGTAGTCTCAGAAGGCTTTTTCTGTGGAGGTTCTAGGATTCCTGGGGCAGTTGTAGAGGTATCAGACCAACTTCTCCTTCTAGAATGTGTTCTCTGGTGGTTAGTATGCTTACCGGCCCCTGTAGACTCAAGCGGCACCTTTATCTACTTGGATTGGCGGATAGCCCATGGTGCCGTCTTTGAAATGCGGAGGAGAAAATCTCCTTACATGTCCCTGGAAATATCTGGCAATGGCCTGCTAGAGGTGGCAGATCCTAGATGCAATCCTTGCAATCCAATACTGAAAACCTGAAAACTGATCCAAATAAAGCAGTTATCCTTAAAGAGACTTGTAGCTTTTTTAGAGGCTACAAGGTTACTGAAGGATTAGGAAGGGCTCGGAATTGGAGTTTAGTGTAAATATGAAAGCCCGGAACAGCCTGAGCCCCAGAAAAGCCAAAGAGTAGGTACTTATGGGCCTATTCCGTATGATAAGGGTAATACAATGGACCCCACTTAGGAGGTCTAGCTATCTGAAGGACTCATAAATGGATTATGTCCCGATCTACCACAAACATTAACAATATGCTGGAACATTCTCGAAACCACTTCACTAAAATATTGTAGGTACTAGCCTGCACTTGCCAAAAATGCTGAAAAGAACCGTTCCAACTTTTGAAGCTAGTCGACTCCGTAGTGACTTAATTATCATCTTCCGAATTTTAAAGTTTGGATATGGAAATCTGCAGAACTTGTTTATTTTAGATCATCACAGCGGACTAAGTGGACACAGTTTAAAACTGAAGAAGGAATCCTTTTCATGGACAAGGGACTAATATTTTCTGTGTAATCGTATCTTTAGTATAAGGAACAGTCTCCCAATGGATACTATAAATTCTCCATCTATAAATTCTTTTAAAAATCAACTAGACTGTTACATGTTTGTAAACTGAACAATACTGTATACAATTTACTAGTTTATAGTTTATTTGCGTAACTAATTATTATTATATGTAATGTACTATTTCATTTTTCTTGTATATGGGCTTATAGGTCGTTATTACTACGTAATAATAATAATAATAATATATATATAACTACAAGACAGCGTTTGATTCAGTGCCGCATGAATGGCTTATAGATATATTAAAAATATATAAAGTAGATGATAACATAGTAACCTTTTTAAAACATATAATGTCAGATTGGAAGACAAAAATTCCTCCAAATACCTGGTGAAAACAATATCGCAACTGAAAATATTGCAATCAACCGGATCCTTTTCCAGGGGGACTCGTTGAGTCCTCTCTGGTTCTGTTTAGCGATGAATCCACTATCTCAGCTACTGAACTCCACTGATTCAGGTTTTAGTATCAAAAATAACAATACCGTTGTGGCGAAGCTTAATCATTTGTTGTATATTGATAATTTAAAATTAATGGCTTCCACTCGCAACCACTTAGATCAGATGCTAAAAACTGTAGAAAATTTCTTAAATGATATTTGTATGCTTCGGCCTTGACAGGTGCCGTGTTTAAATATAATCCAAAGAAAGGTTTGAAAGATTCGATATGCAAAACGGCCAGAACATCGAGGCCATGGGTGAAAATGATATGTATAAATACCTCGGAATGAAGCAAGCGCCGAAGAATGACCATAAGCAAATAAAAACGGAGATAACTACTGAATTTATACAAAGGGTAAAAACAGCTGCTTCGTTCACACCCTAGCAGTAAAAATTTGTTAAGGCACTAAACACCTACGCATGCTCCGCGCTTAGCTACTCATTTGTTATTGTTAAGTGGACAAAAACGGATATAGAAAATCTTCAGCGAAAAGTACGAACACATCACACAAAGGCACAAAAACAACATCCTCGAAGTGCAGTAGAAAGTTTATCATCATTACCGCGGTATTTAGGAGGTTAAGGACATCTACTCTTCATCGCGCGATTTGTGCAGTAGATGACACAACACTGATCAAACTGAGGGAACCAGAAATGCGCATAAACCACCTTACTAAGGACAAGAAAATGCGCGCACCTGGATGGGCAAACCTCTGCACAGGCGACGTCCCAATGAGATCAGTCAAGACCATGTCGACAATATAGCGTCGAACTATTGGCTGACATCAGGAAAGATGTTCCCTGAAACAGAAGGTTCACTACTGGTCATTCAGGATCATATTATATCAATCAAAAATTACCTGAAATATATCGTCAAAGACCCTCAGGTCCAAAATGACAAATGCCGATATGGATGCCAAGCTCAGGAAACCATTCAACATATTACCGGGGGCTGTCAGGCATTTGCTGCAAGTGAATATAAGGAACAGCACGACTCAGTAGGAAAGATCCTTCATCAAAAGATAGCTATCAAACTGGGATTTCTTCATACAAACCATCTTCCATATACGTTCCTGAGAGTATACGTAAGAATGACAACTACAAGCTATACTGGGACCGCACGGTACTCACAGACCAAACAGTGGCGCATAATACACCAGATTTCATACTAGTTAATAAACTAAAGAGACAAACAACATTAATTGATGTGGCGATACCCAACAACAATAATCTTGTCTAGCTGTACTACTCTCAACGTACAGATGCGAAAATTTTTGGGAGAAACTCCAGCATATCAACTCACCTAGGGCTCGATAACACGGAAAGAGTCCCATCAGAGCTCAATACTTTTGATATTGTAGGTATCTGGGATGAGTGAATTTTCCCCTTAGAGGGAGTGTGAGCCATAGGACTAAATCTGGATAACATATATATATATATATATATATATATATATATATATATATATATATATATATATATATATATATTGCATTTTCAGTTATTTGTTATTTTTGCTTTCATAGATTACAAATTATATAATGCAAAATTATCATACCGATACATCTAATTAAATTCAATAAGATAGTTGCATATTTCTGATTGGCCAAGTTTGGTTATATCTGATAGTATTATCAATTACAACTATCCGAGTATATATTAAACAAATAAATGTATTGATCTTCATTAATAACGGACCAGTTTGTACTAAAATTCCGGTAGTGCAGTTCATAACCAGACGAAAAAATGAAATTTGTTGTACTTGCTATAATTTTTTCAGTCCTGTTGTATCAGGGTAAGTCTAAAATTTGTTTTATGGATTCACAATATTACGCAAGTGTTTGCGGGTCTTTTCGTTTTATACTCAGCGAGCGGGGAATGTCCAAAAAGTGTTTTAATTTTCGATAAATCCATAACTCTCTGACAAGCGGGCAAATTTGGTAAGGTTTGTTTAGCAGAAAATGGTTGACTTCAATTAGTGCGATCGTAAATATTATTAAATTTATCTGACTTGGCCCATTGTTAAGGCCTGTCCGGAGCGATAAGCAAACGAGGTAGACAGAGTTGGTCTTTTGACAATTAACACTGACTAGACGGTACTCCTATAATAAAGCAAAGGATTCACAAAATTTACAATAATTACGACGACAAAAACAAAAAAATTGATGTAAAATAATATATTGCTGTGCCTTATATGCCCAAAATTAATATTTTTAAATGAGTTTTAAAATTAAATTAAATATATATAATTTGTTAATATTATAGAAAAACAAACAATAATAATAATTTGTGGTGCTGAAAATAATCGTTTTTTTAACATAGTTCTCACTCCACACATAGTTCTGTTTCTCTAACGCTATCCTCATCTAAATTAATTATGATCTTCTTTTTCTTCATGTACCATGTCCTTTCAGAACGTTGGTTACCATCATAGCTATTTTAATTTTATTCACTGCCACCCTAAATAGCATGCTTGTATCTACATCATACCAATCTCGCAAGTTCTTCAACCATGAGGTTCTTCTTCGTCCTGGACTGCGTTTGCCTGCTATTTTTCCTTGCATGATATTTTGTAGCAATCTATATTTGGGACCTCTCATTACATGTACGAAATAGTCCAGCTTTGTCTGCTTGATGCTTTTTATAATCTCAGTAGTCTTGCTGAGACGTTTAAGTATTGTGGAGTTACGACTCTTCTCCACCCAGGAAACTTTTAAAATTCTTCTATAGCACCACATTTCAAAAGCCCTAAGGCGATTTAGATCGATTTTATTCACAGTCCAGGACTCGACAGCATAAAGTAAGACCAAGAACACGTAGCAGCGAAGTAGGCGGATCCTTAATGCCAATTTTAGGTCTCTGTTACATAACACCTTGGACATCCTTCTAAAAGCAGCTCTAGCCTGCTCTATTCTGGATCTAATTTCGCCGTGATTTTCTGCATTACAATTTAATTGCTGTCCAAGGTAGACGATTTTATCAACTTGCTCAAGTTTGGTATTATTTACATGTATAGACGGTTTTATATTCTGTTGTTTACTTATTACAAGTATTTTGGTTTTCCTTATGTTAAGATCCAGACCTGCCTCCCTACAACTCTCAACGACACTATCAAGTAGTGTTTGCAGATCTTCTTGACAAGAAGCTAGGAGTACTGTATCGTCCGCATATCGCAAATTATTGATGACTTCGCCGTTCACAAGTATTCCTTCTTGTTTTTCAGAAAGTGCTTTTCTGAAAATTCTTTCGGAGTAAACGTTAAAAAGCAGGGGTGACAAGAAGCATCCCTGCCGTACTCCTCTTTTTTAATATTGAGAGCTTGTGATTCCACACCATCTACTAAAACTGATGTTGTTTGATTCCAATATAAATTTGCAATTATTCGAACATCTCTGCCGTCCAAGCCAATGTCTTTTAGAGCTTCGATCAATATAGAGTGCTTAACACGATCAAATGCCTTTTGAAAGTCAATAAAACAACAGTGTATGTCTACAGATATATCACGACATCTTTGAGCAAGTACGTTCATTCCAAACAGTGCCTCTCTCGTTCCAAATCCGTTACGGAAACCAAACTGAGTGTCATCCAGGTATTCCTCACATTTATTGTATATACGACCATGTTTTACCTTTAGAAAAATTTTCAATAAGTGGTTTAACAAACTGATGGTTCTATAATCAGCACAGGTTTTTGCTGTTGTCTTCTTAGGTAGAGCTATAAATAGTGAGTTAGACCAACCATTAGGTAGTTGTCTGCTGGTATAAATGGTATTGAAAAACGAAGTTATAGCCTCTAAAACATTGCTATCCTTTATAAGCTTATATATTTCAGTTGGAATTTCATCAGGACCGGTCGCTCTGCCATCTTTTGACGATTGTATGGCCTTTATAACCTCACAGCGTGATATTAGGGGTACGTCGAAGTTAGTAATATCGGAAGGGAAATACTCCTATCGTCTTCGAATAGGTTCGTGACGTAATTTTTCCATTCTTTAAGTTTGTCCTCTACTTCGAATATTACTTTACCATTTTCATCCTGTAGCAATGCATTTTATTTCTTATTGAAGATACCAGCCAATTCTTTTACTTTTTTATACATGTTAAACGTGTCGTATCTTTTTTCGAGTTCTTCAATGTCATGACACTGTTTGGCTAGATGTTGACTCTTTGCTTCTCGTATTTTACGTCGAATTTCTTTTTGTATGCTATTGTAAAATGTTTCGTTGGTTTTTTCTAGTCGCCGTTGTTCCATCAAATCCAGTATATCATCTGTCATCCAAGCCTGCTTTTTTGGCTTTGACCTGCCTAGTAAATTTCTCACACAGATTTCTTTTACTGTCGTTACGATTTTATTTAAGCCCTCATCGACGTTTTCACTAATATTTTCCCAAATTAAATTTTCGTTCAGTTGTCTTTGAACTGATTCCTTAACTTTCTTGTCTTGTAGTTGGGCTGTATCAATCTTTTTGCGAGACTTCTTTTTGATCACCTTTTTTAATTTTAATTGGGTTACAGCTACTATGGGATTGTGATCGGACCCAATGTCAGCACCTGGATAAGTTTTAACTGATTTGATGTAGTTTCTAAATCGATTTTTTATTAGAATGAAGTCGATTTGATTCCTAATAATTTTGTCCTCTGATTCTGCATTTGACTTCCAGGTGTAGAGTCTTCTCGGTGGTAGTTTAAAATGGGTATTCGATATAATGAAATCGTGTTCTTGACAGAACTGGACAAGTCGATCTCCACGTTCGTTTCTGTTTCCCAAGCCATATTCCCCCACAATGTTCAAACAGCGTCCTTTGCCGACTTTAGCGTTAAAATCTCCGAGGACTATGGTATTTTCTGCTGCTTTGACAAGATCTAGAGCATCAGTAAGATCTTTGTGATCGGTTCAATTATATTATGATCTACATAAACATATGAATTTTCTTTAGTTATTAAGTGTCGAACTGAATTTCTCCAACTACTTGGAAGAATATCGTTGAGACATTTTCTTATTTACTCTACAACAGTAGGGGAGAGTGTTGTACCTTTGGGCAAATTTCATGACGTTTGGCTCAAAATGTTTAAAAATTGCTTTATAGCGACCATTGAAGCATTCAGAAGTAGACACAACCTTTATCCATAAATGACAAAGTATAGATCTACAGATTCCTTTTAGTTACCTTTTAAAAAAAATTTGACAGGTCCTCCAAAGATACGACACTGTGTTGTACGTTTATCCACATGATGTTGTACCTGTGGTCAGAGAACAAATTAACTTCGATTAAGAAGAAACAACACAAACGAACGAAATATTTATTTACTAGATGAATTATAAGATGACAAACATGATTACTTTACATTGTATGTATCAAATTTAACATTAAAGGACATCATATTTTTTTTGCTACTACTACTACTACTACTATCGGTTTACAGCGTTCTACGACGCCTCCCGACTCCTAACCGCCATTCTTCTCTATTCAACCATAGGCCTGGTGGGTTTTCTCTTTCCTCTAGTTCTTTTTCAATTCCCTCTCTCCAGCTTCTTCTCGGTCTTTCTCTTTTCCTTCTCCCTTGTGGTGTCCACGTCAAAATCTGTTTTGGAATCCTGTCATCTGGCATTCTCTGCACATGGCCGTACCATATTAACTGTTTTGCTTTTATGTCGTCAACTATTGTATGCTTGACTTCCATCATTTCTCGTATTCTCTCATTTGGTATCCGATCTCTTCTTGATTTTCCTGCTGCTCTTCTCCAGAAGTCCATTTCTGTTGCTAGTAACAGTTTCTCTGTTCTTTGTTTCATTGGCCAAACTTCAGTGCCATATGTGATTACACTTTTAAGTATGGTGTTGTATATGAGTTGTTTGTTCGCTTTAGATATTGTTTGGTCCCACAGAATGCCGTTCATCATGGATATGGCTTTTCTACCCTGTATGTTTCTGTCTTTTATAGCAGCATCGAATGTTCCATCTTGAGTTATCTTCATATTCAAGTACTTGTATTCATCACAGTTTCTAATTTCTATCCCATCGTCTAATATAACGGATTGTTTTGTCCCTCCAATACACATTGCTTCAGTTTTTTTAATGTTGACTTCGAGATCCCATTTGTTATATTCTTCTATTAGCTTTCGAGTCATGTAACTCAAGTCGTCATGATCCTGGGCAATCAGTATTTGGTCATCAGCGAAACATAAGGTGTACAGTGTAGTCTAGTCATTGAGAGGGATTCCCATGCCATTAAATTTTCTTTTCCATAGCATGAGTGCTTGTTCCATCATATTTTTTTGGCGTTGTGATATTGCAACCAAATCTGGTGAAGGCAGTTTTTTTATTATGTCGCCTTCGGAGACACAAGAGACTTTCTCATCTCATTAGACAAATTTATTGTTTTTAATACCTGTTTTTAAATATTTGATCATGTATTCGTCATCTAAAACCTCAACTATCTTGGTAACATAATGTCCAATATTTGTTTTACTGGCCAATTTTACGAGAACAAAATCACCTTCTTTTAACTTAGTTCAAAAGTTTCTAAATCTCATCACTGCGCATACTTCTGTTGGTTTGTCTGTCCCTTAATGATATGCCCGCTATTGATCTTAATACTTTCATTTCGATATTGTTGATTTGTTGTTTCATCTTTCTTTTATCGGTCCTTGTCTCCGCTGCATATGTTAGGATTGGACTTACTGTTGTCTTGTATACTTTCGTTTTGCTTTCCGTGGTCAGATATTTATTTCTCTGTATGGTTTCTCGCAGGTAACCACTTACTCTTGCTGCTTTTGATGCTTGCCTTGTGCTCTCTGTTCGTATATCCCTGTCACTAGTGATCTCTACTCCTAGGTCTAGCCTGACTTAATTCCAAAGTCTTTATATTTATGAAGCGAAACTATTGTACCGACCTCAAGTGGTCAATAGCAGAACGTTAAAGCAAAAATTCTTTCCAACACGGAGAAAACAACAATGTTAACGATAGTGTCCAAATGTAAAAGCGCCCAAAGGTACAACACTCTCCCCTATTACTTTTTTTTTAAATTGCCGTATTGCCAGATTTCAGTAAGAGACTAAGAAGGTATCCATTGAATTCTGACAGGCAACGGTGGGGGAAATCTTTTTTGGACATCTACGGTCTTCGATGTGTGCTGTAAAGGTTAATTTTTTGTCTAGGGTGATTCCGAAATATTTTATTTGGTTGGTTAAAGAAAAATTAATATCATTCAGTTTTATAGTGATGCAATTTGTAATATTGTGACATGTAAAAATGGTGTCGGCCGATATGCGCTCGACCGTTTTGCGCCCTTACCTGAAATCGGCCGGGTTGCGCTCTAACACTTTCTTAATGGAGATGTATAACTGGAGATTATTTTTTCATATCGACCGTTTTGCGCTCTCTTGTAATCGACGTTTAATTTTATTCTATCATAACGATCAGGTAACGGTTAGGCTAGTAAAATTAATTTTAAAAAATCATAAAACTTTAAAAAAATAAAAATAAACCATCTTCCCTTCACACTTTCATTCAGGCTTAGGACTGTCATAGTTTATACATAATATAAACATTGGCGTGTTTAGAAGATGTTTTTTTTTATTTTTTCATTTTTTTTTTCGTTTTTTTTTTTAATTTGTTAATTTTTTTTAATTTATTTTGTTTTTTTTTCGTTTTTTTTTTCAAACTTTTTATACAGTAAAATACAAAAAATTCTTGGGAATAAAAAATTGTCTATTTATTGCAGCTTCTGGATATATGCTAATGTCCTTAAACACAACCTTAAGTCCCTTGTATCTTTATATTTCTGTAAAGTTTTTGATATTCTTTCATCAAGATTAATATATGTTTCCTTGTGCCGCTTTCCTTCTAGATTAAAAGTTAATCGATCATAAAGGTGATCACAATATTCAGCTTCTTTAACCAGGCACTTAACTAATTGGAATACATTGGAATGTGGTCTTATTAATGTATTCAGACGATGATTCCAACATTCTAAAACGTTAGTCCATCCATCCAATGGCACTACAGCCCAAGCCGGGCCTTGGCCTCCTTCATTAAACCTCTCCATACATCTCTATTTACTGCTGTTCTTTTCCATGAACGCGTTTTTAGGAGATTTTTGGCATCCTCATCTACCTCGTCTTCCCATCTCTTTTTTGGTCTTCCAACAGGTCTTTTTCCTTGCATTCTTGCGTTTAGTAATTTTCTGGGGATTCTGTTCTCATGAATGCGGGCCACATGCCCTGCCCATCGTAATCTCTGCAGTCTAGTGTATTGTGCTAGTGTTGGTTCAGTGTATTGTTCGTATATTCCGTTATTATATCTAATTCGCCAGTTGTTATTTTCCTTTATTGGACCCAGTATTCTACGCAATATTTTTCTTTCGAACACGTCTAATGCATTGGTAGATTTCTGTGTTATAACCCATGTTTCACACCCATAACTTACTATTGGTCGGATTATTGTTTTATATACCCGGAGTTTTGTTTTCCGGTGTACGTCTCGCGATTTGAATGTGGCCCATCGCGAAATAGGCTTTGTTTGCCAGCATAAGCCTTCTATTTATTTCCGGTTCTTCTTCATTATTTTCGACCAGATCCATTCCTAAATACGTGAATCTATTCACGTATTCTATATCGTCTATAAATTGTTGTTGTTGCGCCTGTCTATTTGATCTGGTTTGTATAAGTAGTTTTGTTTTATTTGTATTTATTGTTAGCCCTACAACTTCTGAACTCTGTTTTAACTGAACGTAGGTTTCTTCTGCCGCAGTCTTTGTTCTGCTCATTATGTTTATGTCATCTGCGTATGCTGCTAATTGCTGCTAAAACGTTAGTACTGCGATGTATTTGATCATGGCAATTCCACATTTCCTTGCTATAATAATTGGTAATGTGAGTATTTTCTAACCATTGTTTGACAAAGTAGTGATAAAACTGTTCCATTTTTTCAGAAATAGGAGAGATTCTTGACTAGCTTTGTTCTTGGCAAACACCAAGATTCTGTTTCCCGAGGGAGTGGTCTTGTCGATAAATAAAAATTTCTATTGTCGCTCATTGTAATAACTTCTTCTGGAAATACTATTTCGGATCCTGCCGCTGGATCTGTGAGCAGCCCACGAGCACGTTTTCTACAATCGTTTAAACCACTTTTCACTGAAGAGAATTTTGGGAGGTCTGTCACGAAATCCAGTCGTTGACTATATAATTTTTGAAATTCATCTTGATATATTTTTGACATCGGCAAATAACTATTGTCTTTCCTAGCTCTTTTTCGAGCATTGAAGACACACTGCTTCACTTGTGTCGCTGCAACACTCGGCTTACACAGATGTTCGGATTTCTTAATTATTGTGTTATTATCCATACTTATGTGGCCTCGACATTTTAGTTTTCTCTTTCAAACAGTTGTTTTTTTTTATACGAAAACTGTACTCTTTATACAATGCACATGGTTTTCCCATGATGACATTTGTTTTTGGAGGAAACAGGTGTTTCTGTTTATTTGACATGTTAGTTTGTTGACGATTAAGGAAACTATAGTAGTTAGATAATTCTATTATGAAAATTGCAAAGCGCAAACCGGTCGATTTCAGGTAAGGGCACAAAACGGTCGAGCGCAAACCGGCCATATTCTGTAAAAATGACCACTTTCAATTTCTGCGGACATAAATCAAAACTTAGATTACTTATGCTCTGAATATAGGTATCCAGTGACTTCAGTTGCATTTAAAAAAATAATCGGATACATCATTACACCAACAATCGTTTGTTTTTGAAATGATGAATTTATTCCATAGATTTGCATTATACAATTTATATTTTTTTATGTTTAAATTTTCAGCTAATACCGAAATATTCTTCGCCGATGGTGATCCCGAATCATGTAAGTTAAAAGATTTTATTTTTTCATGCTAATATGCTTTATAAAAATATATACCTACATTATCTATCCGCTCCCTCTATATATTTTTTAAATATATAAAGATACATAGATTTTTCGATTCCAGTAAAGTTGGGTCGCTACGCGAGCTATGAAATTATTAATTAGTGGAGTCTAAAAGAAAAAAGTAAAGTAAGTAATAAGTAAAAAGAAAAAGTAAATTTTGCAGTAACTGATAATGCCTTAATTATGTTCAAAGCTAAAGATGATGACAAAGATAAAGATGACTTAAGTGGTGTATTTTTGATGAATTAATTGGACATGGCTCAACTAAACGTACACCTGTATCGAGAGCTATATAAGAAGTCGACATGTATTTGTCTGACGATATATCACCCAGAAAAAATTCTAACCGAGATTAAAACTGTCCATTACAGTGGTGGAAAAACCATCGCCATGTATATCCCAACTTAACCACTATATTCATAAAATATTGTAATATTGTAGCCATCTGTTCCTTGTAAACACATGTTCAAAATCTGCTTTAATGTTAAATAAAGGAAGAACATGGTTAACAACAAGTAAAGGGCAAAAACTTATGTTTTTATATGTCAATTTAGACGATTCGCGATTTAATAATAACGTGTAATGTAAATGTTAGTACGATTTACTATTTGTATTGTTTATACCTCTCTCTTTTTAAACAGGTGTTTCTCATTCCGTCTTGCGTAAGGTCCATACCGACCATAAACTTTTAATTATACTGTGTATATATATATATATATATATATATATATATATATATATATATATATGTATGTATAAATGTATTTAAATTTATTTATATGTATTTATGGTTATCTTTAAATTTTTAGCTCCTGATAATCCCGCGTCTGAACCAGGATCCGTATCTAAAGCAAGTAAGTTGAAATATTTTATTCACTCCATATTAATATTCCCCAACATTCTTGCGTTTAACAGTTTTTTTCTGGAATCCCTTTTCTCCCATTCTAAATACATGCTCATTGAAAACGCTGTAGGTGGACGTAATGGGAGACAGATTCTTTATATGTATTCTATATTTTGTAATTGTGCCTGACTTATCACCTGTTCTCACTTATTTATTGGGCCTTGTAAATAACTTCCTTTCAAAGATGTCTAAGCGGTTTAAAGATATTTGAGTCTAAACTGATTCATACACAATTCAAATTAAATATAGTTCAATCAATGCCTCCTTTCCACAATTTACCTTTGTATTTTTCTAGAAAGATTTACTTTAATTAGTTCCCTGTCCAACAAACTCCTTCCTGTGCTCTGCTGATAAAATAAAACTGTCGACAAACTTCTAACTATGTTTATTGCTTTATTGCTTCTATTGGAGGGCCAAAATTCTCCTTAGCTTTGCTTCGCTTCAAGAATAGTAAATTATTTTACTTACAAATACTGTAACTAAGCTTTCAACACTTTATTTGCACTAATTTTCGTCACAATAATTTTTCTTTCACCGGTTAAAAAAAAAACAAACTTTCGTTACACTCCTTTCGATTTTGTCTTCACTCGCTTTAAGTCCCAAAACAGCTGATCCTTCTTGCTTTTTCAATTTTATGCCCGTCTGTCTATCCCTTCCATATTTTTTTCCTTAAGTTTTCCTTTCACAAAGGAAAATTATACTAAATCCCTTTAAATAAATCTGTAGAATTCTTGTAAATTCACCTGTAGGACTTGTTTAAAAATATAGACAAAAAAAAAGAATATCAAATTATATAACATATATGCTTCAATTCCTGTTTTATCTTACACTATTCTCTAGGTATTTTTCCCAGCCAACATTGAAAACAAGTTATTATGATAACTTAATTTTGAAATGCCATACACAAAATCAAATTAATTATGATCTAATCAGCAAATTAAAACACAAAAAATTTCTCATAAATTTTAATGTAGACACCAAAATAATAAATATGTTTTTCTCGTCTCATGGTTCCTAATCGAGTTAAAAACATTACTTTTTCTTTTAATATCGTTTGAGAAACAAAAAGAGAAAAAGGAAATAAATAGAAGAAATCAATTGGTGCAATAAATTCAAAATATAATGACCAAATACCTTACTAAATAAATATCTTCTAAATAAATGTTTCCCTAAATTACTCTGTTGCATATACAATTAACCACAAAACATTTCCAATTAAATATAGTTTAATCAATGTCTTGTTTCCACAATTTGCCCCTGTATTTTTCTAAAAGGATTTACTTTAATTAGCTCGCTATCCAACAAACGCCTTCTCGGGTTCTGCTTATAAAAACAAAACTGTCGACAAACTCCTAACAATGTTTGTTGCTCCTTTGGAGAGCTAAAATTTTCCTTAGCTATGCTTCGCTCCAAGAGTAGTAAATTATTTTACTTACAAATACTGCAACTACAGATTTTAATACTTTCTTTGCACTACTTTTCGTCAAAATAATTACCGGTTTAAAGAACAAACTATCAGCACACTACTTTCGATTTTGTTTTCACTTTCTTCCAGTCCAACAGCAGATGATCCTCCTTGCTTTTTCAATCTTATTCCCATCTGTCTATTTCTTCCATAATTTATTATAACCAATCAAAACATTATTTTTTTGCATTCAACCAAATTTAAAAATTCTCCAAATTCCTAAAACTCACCTAATTTCAAATTCCCGTAATTATGTACAAATCATACAAGACAATAACTTTATACTTTATCCTTCACCTTTAATAACCGTTTTTGAGATAACAGAAATAAATCCTTGAAAACGCCAGGTATCCATACATACATCCATCCTCTGGCTCCTCCAGGCATTCTTCTCCACTATCGACTCCCAAGAAGATTTCTAGCATCCTGATCCACATCATCCTTTCACCATCGCTACCTCGGTCTTCCAATGGGTACCTTCCTCAGCACTGTTGTATTCAACAGTTTTCTTTGGAAGCCGTTTTCTTCCATTCTAAATACATGACCTGCTCATTGAAGACGCTTACTTTGTATATATACGTTATATATTTAAGTATTTGTATAATTTGTATATTTAAGTATATGTATATATAAACACACATCCACATCTGAATCAAGTTAAAATATATTAATCGCTTCATATTAAAAGAATATATATATATATATATATATATATATATATATATATATATATACCGGGTGGTGAATCGTCAAACGGACCATAGCAAACTCAATGAGAAATTTTAAATTGTTGAATTGCTGCTTCCCTAATTATTTTAGATCAAAAGTCATAAAAAACTATTTGTAGAGGACTAAAATCTGAATTAAAAACAAATGTTAAAACCGTTCTACGACTCAAATGTACTTAAAAATTTTGCAAAAATATAATACATTTTTCAGGCCACCCCTAAAAGTTAGGCCACACGTAATGCAAGAATATATATTAGGACGTTTGTGTTTTATCATATTTATGTCAGATGTTTGACAATTTGAATTGT